CCTCGTGCCAGAGAGGGTGTGTTGGTGACCCTGTGTGAACCTGCTCTGATTTGCACATGAACTGCTCCTATTACCATAGAGGGCTGCCTGGATCTGCTCAGTGTGGCTCATGATCCCTGTGCATGTGGGGAGCCACCCTTGTCCCCCATGGTACCAGAGGGGTTCCCACCAGTGGCGGCAGTGGTGGGATCCAGAACCCGAACGGGCAAAGTGTCTGTGGCAGAGGGCTGGAGCAGCTCTGCTCTGGAGCCAGGCTGAGAGAGCTGGGCTGGGGCAGCTGGAGAAGAGAAGGCTCCTCAAGGGGACACCTTAGAGCAGCTCCAGTGCCTAAAGGGGCTCCAGGAAACCTGGAGAGGGGCTTTGGACAAGGGCCTGTAGGGACAGGACAAGGGGAATGGCTTTAACCTGCCAGAGGGGAGATTGAGATGAGCTCTTAGAAAGTGGGCTTGGAACTGGATAAGCTTTAAGTCCCTTCCAACCCAAGTCATTCTGTGATTCTATGATCAGGACTCTGGCTGCAGCAAGAACAGCCATGGCCAGGCTGAGTCATGGCCAGCTGGGTCTCAGACAGATGGTCCTGAGGTCTAGGGTATGATTCAGCCCCTGCTCACACCTATCCTGGTGACATGCAAGGTGAGGGAGGATGAGCCCTCGCAGCATCTCTGTGGCCTCCTCTGGCCTCACTCCAGCAGCTCCATGTCCCTCTTGTGCTGTTCCCCAGAGCTGGATCAGAACTGAAGGGGGGTCTCCCCAGAGCGCAGCAGAGGGGGAGAATCCCCTCCCTGACCTGCTGCTCACGCTCTGGGGGTGCAGCCCAGCACACAGCGGGGGTTCTGGGCTCAAGCACACACTGAAGCTGGGTCATGGGGAGCTTTTCCTCACTCAACACCCCCAAGTCCATCTTCTCAGGGCTGCTCCATCCAGCCTCCCCCAGCCCGTGTTTGTGCTGGGGATTGCCCCAACCCCAGGGCAGGACCTTGCACTTGGCCTTATAAAAAGTAAAGAAGAGCAGAAGTGCTCTGACCTGGCCTAAGTCATATTTTCCATATGTGAAGGGATGGGGGAACTCACTTGAACAAGGGCTGTAAGAAAAACTTTCCAGGGCAGAGAAGCCAGGGAGCGGAAGGAAGGAGCAGGGAGTTCCATACTCACACTAGGGACTTCCTTGGGTTAGAGGACAGGCTGGAGCCAGGTCTGTGACTCACTGTGCTGATGTGAGACATGCTGCTGGCCTGCTGCAAGCCCTGCTCCAGCACACACAGAGCAGAAGGAGCTGGGGAGAAACACAGGAGTTGCAAGAGCTGCTATAAAAACCTCTCCCTCTGCAACCTGAAAACCAAAGACACTACCCCTGAGCTGCTGGGAGAGGAGAATCCCCATCCACCCACTGCTTCTTCGGGTGCTTTGTGTGTAGCAGAAAATACCAACTGATACCACCAGATGGACAAGGATACCCCAGCTTCTGCTTTGAGACATGCTGCTAGGAACAGCCTTCAAAGACAAAACCACCACCAGGAAAGAAAAGAGCTGTGAAAAGTAGATCTTTCCAGTGCGGAGTGCGTGGTGCATTCACTGCTTACTCCTTGCTCAGTGCAGAGCAGCGTGGTGGGGCTCCTGCCCTCCCCTCTGGCACAAGCACTCCTTGGAGCTATTTTTTCCCAACCTGCTATCTTAAAAACAAAAAAGGGAAAGTTGGCACGAAAGCTTTTATCCTCCTGAACACGCGCCAAGTGCGAAGGCGATTCAGTGCTTCAGACGCCTGTTTCCTGGCAGATTTTAAGTCCTTTGCTCAACTGGTAGGCTGGCGGGGGCAGGAGATGCCTGCAGCAGGCTGGGAACGGTGGTTTCAAACAATCCCATGTTTAACTGCAGCTCAGGACCCAGGAGACCAACATTTCCAAACAGAGGGGTAAGAGCTAGACACAGCCAAGTGATGCTGGGCATGGAGATGAAGGGCCAGCAGCACGGGTACAGCTCCTGGCTGTACTCAGTGGGGTTACCCAGTTCAACACCTCCCTGTGCTCAGTCGTCTCTCTGCTTCCCAGATCATGAGGTTTCAGCTCTGTTGGCTCCCAGTGGTTTGAAGGGATAGGGTTGGAGCCAGGAACCAAGCCAAGCAGAGAAGTGCCGGATGCCTGAGAGGGACTCTTCATCAGGGACTGCAGTGAAGGACAAGGGGGTAATGGGTTTAAACTGAAAGAGGGGAAGTTCAGGTCAGATATGACGAAGAAGCTCTTCCCTGTGATGATGCTGAGGCGCTGGCACAGGGTGCCCAGAGAAGCTGTGGCTGCCCCATCCCCGGCAGTGTTCAAGGCCAGGTTGCAGAGCCTTGAGCAACCTGGTCTAGTGGGAGGTGCCCCTGCCCATGGCGGGGGGGTGGAACTGGATGATCTTAAGGTCCCTTCCAACCATAGTTATTCTGTGACCCATCCAGACCTGCTTTTACAGGTCTCCAAGCCCCTCTCCAGGTTTCCTGGAGCCCCTTTAGGCACTGGAGCTGCTCTAAGGTCTCCCCTTCAGGAGTCTTCTCCAGCTAACCCAGCCCAGCTCTTTCAGCCTGGCTCCAGAGCAGAGCTGCTCCAGCCCTCTCCTATCTCTTGGCACATAACCCACAGCAACATCTACCCTATATCCTAACTATAACTAGCCCTTCTACCAGCTGAGTATTTCCCCCAACATTGCAATTCAGGCCACCCAGGCATTGCTCCAACTCTGAGACTGTAAAGAGAACTAAGTGGTCCAGGAAGGCAGGAGTTGAGAGTTGTTCAGATTTGTTTTCACCTTAGGGAGAAGTTACTAAGAAGAAAGTGGTCTGGAAGAGAGGTGCGTGGGACAATCCAGCTCTCCAGAGGCTTGAAAGGCTGGTCTTGCTCTGTGGAAAATAGATGGTCCCCGGGAAATTGGTGCTTGTCAAATGCAATCAGCACTCTGGCTGATCTCTGCAAAGCACAGTCATGATGTACCACATGCAGCTCTGAAGGGAGGGATATGATCCCACCCACAGTGCACAACCCAGGGGGGTGTTTTGTAAACCACAAGACAAAAAGAAGCCTGCAAAGTCCAGAAAACAAGCGGTGCAAGTCCTCCACCATGCCACGCAAGCTGCCTTCTCTCCCTCCTGCCCTCCAGATACACTTCTCCATCCTGAATGCCCTGTTCACTAACAAGAAGAGCAAACTTCATCCTCCTTTGTACTTGGCTGTCTTCACCTTCTTCATCTCTCACATCCCCTCCATTTAAGCACAAGGATGGTGCCTTTCTCAGAAGGCAACTAGATGGAGTAAAGATCAGGCTCAGGGAGAAAACCATAGCTTGGTCCAAGTTTTAGTCATATCTTGGGCTGTTGGGAGCCACTAGCAGCAACAGCAGCTGCAGGAGGTGCCCTTAGTGCACAACTCCATCCAAGGCCCAGCTCTCCAGTGCAGTGCCCAACCTACATAACATGAGCAGGACAAGCGGGGGCTGGCGTTCAGAGCTCAAAATCCAACACAGCCTCAAAGAAACACAAGCAGATGCTGGTAAGGGAGCAAGGAGGAACCAACCAGGAGGTGAGGAGACACCTGGAGATATTTCACCCAACCACAGCTCTCTGCCTTCCAGAGCCTGGGTCCTGCAGGACATTCCAGCACAGCAGTGTTTGCCTCCCAGCTCTGATGGTCATAGAATCATGGAATGGTTTGGGTTGGAAAGGACCTTAAGATCATCCAGTTCCAACCTCCAAAAAAGCATGGAAGCCCTGCCAGCTCTGTGCCAGCCTGAGAGCAACAAAGTGGAAGATGGGACATAGCCAACACCTCTCTGTGGCCTCTGCCAGCCTAAAGGGAGGAAAAGGAGCATTAATAGTGACCCAAGGTGTGATCAAGGTACCTCCCACTCTCATTGAAGCTGTTCTTAGGCACTAACTTAGGTAAGGGTCAGCTCCATGTTCTTTCTTAAAGGTTTCAGAAGTTCCTCAGACTTGACCTGACGTAGAGAGGCTGCTCTTCAAAGGTTAAGCAGCATCAGAAAACCTTTTGCATTGTTCACAAGAGACAGCACTGACATTTTGGGGTGTCAAATCAGGACCATCTCCAATAGGGAATGGCACTGCCTTCAGCTGTCCCCATGAAAACTCCCTGGAGTTTTGTGAAAATTGGTGTTTGGTAGAAGAAAGGCCTGACCTTTCCCAAATCCACACATGGAAATGATCAGCTGAAGCCCACAGCCTGCAGCCAGGACATGTTTCGGGATGCTTCCTATAGGGCAGGCCAAGCAGGGAACATGACCCAAGCCAAAAGGGCTCAGCATCACCCACAGGAAGCAAGTCAATGAGTTAGACATGATATGCAATGATTTCACATGGCTTCTGGTTCACCTGCAGCAGCAGTCTGGTGCTTCACTGTACACCTGGACAGAAAGCATTCTTTTAAGTCATTTTACTAGTGATGGGAATAAGTTCATCCTTCTATTAGTATTTACCAAAACAAGACGAACTGAGTATTATGTGAAAGTGTGTTTATTCCAAAGCTAAAGTTCTCACATAAAACAATGTCTGTGAACAGCAGCATTGGTCTTTACACAGATCTCCAACAGCCTTCTGGGCTCGAGGGCTGGGGGTCTTAAACCATCCCAACAGAGCATTACAGACTCTCTTGTCAGAGTTGTCAGAAAGGGGAGGGAAATGACACAAAACAGATATGTTGCCACTGGCACAACTGAAGGAATTGTGCCTGCTACAAGAGAAAGAGGTGTCAAGACACTTCGCAGGGAGTTTTATGTCTGCACAAAGATCTCACAGAACACCCTGCTCTCTGCAGGCTGCTTGCCAAGGAGCAGCTGCCACTGTCAGGAGAGAATTGCATTATTCCTGCAGATGGAAAGCAGGGCTGTTGGATTTAATAATCTGCTGGGCTGCTTCCAAGGACTGAAGTGGCTGAGAGGTCACGTTAGTGTTGTGCTCCTTTGCAGCCCGGAGCCCTCGCACCGGCTCCAGCATGCGTGTTTGGTCCCAGCTTAACACTCTAGAGGGGTTTACCTCCTTCCTCCTGCCTCAGCCTCTTGGAGAGATGCTCACTGATGGCCATGAGGGGGTTGGCTCTGTAGCTGGGATTGGCGATGACCTCATGAAACCGAGCCACTTCCTCCTTTCTGAGGAAAGAAAAAGAACACACAAGTGCTGAGTGCCTCATGCGAAAGCAACTGAGCAGGTAAGAGCAGAACTCATAAAGCAGTGGGTTTGTGTAGAGACGGAATTGCCTCAGAAAGAAACAGTGCAAGAAATAAAGCCCATTTACCCAAGGGCAAAGCTCAAATTGCTGCCAGCTTCACAAGAGCCAGAGACTTGATCTCATGCCACAGAGACAGAAACAATCGTAACAGTGTCCAGCATCACTTGGAAATGGGTTTTTTTAGAGCTTTTCCCTAGTAAATCAGGAACAAGAGACTGGGTAGCTGGTAAATCACAAGGAATGAAAACAACTTCAGATTGCACTAGCACAAAAGCAGATTCTGCTTTGAAGAGCTCATCTACTGACTCTCTTTATTGCTCAATGCAGAGGCTTGGTAATACTGTGTGTAACACTAAGTTAGCCACCATGGGAGGAGCATGATGGAACTGCCTCTGCATGCTTGGTCCATGGCTGGTTGCTGTCAGAACTGCCTTGTCTTAAAAAGCAAGCAACCAGGGAGGAATAAGAACAGAGCAGGAGTGCATAAACCAGTAAGTCACATCCACTGCAGCCTCCCCACCTCCTTCTCATTGACTACCAGGCTCTCCACAGCCCAGGCAGACACACATCTCCATGTCCTCAGGAGCTGCTGTGGATCAGCAGACTGCTCTTCAGCTTGCAACTAGTTTACTCCCTTCAATACGAGCCCTGCCCCTGTCATTGGAACAGAGAGAGAAGCCAAACCTGAGACTCAGGTTGTGGCAGTTCGGGCAGTAAAGTGAGGCTCAGGGAATCTCCATCCTGGAAAAGGAAACCCCAGACCTTCGTCCCAGCTTTTTCCCTCCCAAGCAGCACAGACTTCCCAGATCACTCCGACAGGATACATGCCACTACTCAGTGCATCTGCCCTGTTTTGTGCAGAGGAGAGGAGGGGGACACACAGGGGACCATCTGGCTGAGACAGAACATTGTGGTGGAGTTGCCTATTTGGTTGCAGATCTGTATACATGTCCCTCCTCAAGCAGTGTTCCTCACCCATGAGTTTTAGCACAATGAGACCCACTGGTGACACTCAAGGCCATGACCCTTGAGCTTCTGCAAGGAGCCAAGGAGGGACTCCTCCAGAAAGGCACAACTGAGCAAGAAAGGCATCCCAGGATCAACAGTGGCCAAGTCCAGACAGAGAAGGGTAGTCAGAGCGCGTGCTGGAGAGCAGTGCTGGGGTCTGTAGACTGCTCTCCTCAGCCTCAGTTAGAAGTTGAATGGCTCAGAACTGACAAAAATCCTAGAAACAGGGTCCACAGAAAGCAAACACTGCCAGATCCCAGTGCCTAGCTCCAGGGGTGCTGTGCTGAGGGAAAATGAAGCTCTTGAAGCCTGGTGCCAGTATAAAATATCCAACAGATTATACAGCGGAATAAGGAGTTGTCAGACCAAGCCCAGGAGTTATTTAGGAGTATTTAGTGGTTTATTTTACAAGAAAAGGTTTGGCAGATGCCAATGGACATCATCCCAGAAATCAGCATCCCAGAGGTGTTCTAAGAGAGCAGCTGTAGCTCCTGATGCTATGCAGAGTTCCAGAAGCTCCTCAACTACACAACCACTGAAGGGTATCACCTAGAGCTACGTGGGCCTGGTGTCATAAGAGACTCAGCCACAGCTGCATATTGCAGCTCCAACTCAGCAAGCCAAGGTAAGGGATGCACTACTAGGCTGATAACCACATTGTCCTTGCCACGCAGAGGGTCACAGCACAGACATACTCACCTGGTACAGCCAGGATTTACAACTGTGGCCAGGAGGAACAAGATGACAGCTGGGGTGGGTTTGTCCTGAAACCCCAGAGACCATACCCAGGAGGCCCAAGCCATCACTTTCTTTTCCTAACACAGTGAAAATGAACACTTAAAGAAGCAAGTGCAGTTTCTGCTGCTCTCTTAGCTTAAGTTTTACATGAGACTGAAGCAGAAACAGGCTGAAACTTTTTAGAACTGACCGAGTCTAATCGGGACTAAGACAGAAGGACACCCACAAACATCCTGCAACCAGATGTCCTCCAGAGGTCCCTTCCAGTCCCAACCATTCCATAATGCTCAGCAGGGACTGGACACTAATAACTGGGTACTTACAGGAGCTGGCATTTCTGAGCTTGCTTCATCAGACAGAAGTCTGCTGGCTCTGCCTTTGCTTTTACATGGCTATGGAAAGAAGAAACAAAAGTGAGTGAGTGTCATAGAAGAATGTTAATTTAGCAATTGCTGTGGAGCTGGGAAGAGTCATTGAATTGTCCTGTATGGAAACAGTCCTGAAAGGCAATTATTTCCATAGCCAGCCAGTAACAGAGATTGACACAGATTGACCACAGCTTAGAAGTCAGGACTGAACGGGCAGGAGGTAAATTAAAATCAGATCACTTACTTCTAGAACTGGTCATTAGCCGTCTGTGCCCAGATCACTTTCTGCTTATCACTAACCTCAGGTCAAACTGATACTGTTGCTTACAGAAAAAATGCCATTGAACTTCCCCTCACCACCTGTGCACATCTCATGTTCCCTGCTAGCACTGCAGAGCACCAGCACTGGCACACACCAGTTATACACAGTGTCACAGTTGCTCAGCAAGAAGGAACTTCCAGCCCTGCTTCAGATCCTGCAGTGGGACCACTGGGGTATCAGCCGTCACTTCTGTTTTAAGATCATAGGATCATAGAATCTCAGACTGGTTTGGGTTGGAAGGGACCTCAAAGCTCATCCAGTCCCAACCCCCTAACACGGGCAGGGACCCCTTCCACTAGAGCAGGTTGCTCCAAGCCCCTGTGTCCAACCTGGCCTCGAACACTGCCAGGGATGGGGCAGCCACAGCTTCTCTGGGCACCCTGTGCCAGTGTCCATCCATCAAATCCAGGCCTCTCCAATCTAGAGATAAGGATGTCATGTACAACAGTGTCAAATGCCTCACATGAGTCCAGGTAGATGACCCTCAGCCCAGCACAGTGTGCCCCAGCATCAAAACACCCTTCCAATCCAGACAAATAGTGTGGATGGATGTCAGCCAGAGCTTGCAGAACAAAGCCTGTGCAGGAAAGGGCAGACCAATGCCTGCATGCTGCTCCTGTAGCCTTCAGACCCCCCCGAGGTCACCCTGGCACTGCCTGAATGCTCACAAGGAACAAGAGCAGACAAAGAGCTACAGGGGGGTTTAAGCAGCTCCCATCACGCTGCTGTGTCCACTGGTAATGCAAGACACAGAAGGAGCAGGAAGCATCTCTGATCTCTTCATGTCCATTAACTGCTCGGCACAGGAACAACTTCTTGTCCCAGTTTGCCTGCATCCCCCCCGCCAGAAGCACAGAGAAATCCCTTCTCAAGTTGGATGGCAACCCATGGTCACCAGAGCAGGGTTTGCCAAATGCACGTGTGCCACCAAATCACCATGGCAGTCCCTTCTTGAAGGCTTTCCAGTTCCACTCAACAGCTCTAGACCCACTGGTCTAGCAGGTTTGAAAGGCTCTGCCTGAATTTCCCCCACCAAGCCACCAGGATGCTGCCTGCTCACTTGGACAATGTTAGTTGCCCTGTTTCATTACACTTCATTGCCTTCATTCATTATAAAACAGAATAAAACCCTCACTGTAATGCTCTCTTACCCAGCAGGAGATCAAATTCCTGGAGAATCTAATCTTTTATTAATAACGCTGACAAATCACCAGAGTATTACCCTTCATTTATGTAATGATTCAAATCCTATAAAAGGCTCCTCTGATTATCTCAAACACTGATGCACACACATCCTCATGCAGTCCAGGAAGCCACAAGCCAGCAAAGGGGGAAGAACAGCCCTGTAGCTCTTCCATGCCAGTACCAAGGGCTGCTTTTTGGTTGGCATGTCACAGGCAATGCCAAACTGCCACCTCCACTGTGCCCACAGCAACTGGTGATGGACAGTCCTGAAGCTCTCAGTCAGGGCTGGGCCTCTCTCCTGTGCTGTGTCACAGGCCCACTGGGCTTTCTAGACAGCAGAGCCTTGCAGCCAAATTGAAACCAGAGCCAGAGTCTGAGCTCAGGCTTCCAAAAGGAGAGAAGGGCTGCCACCCTCCCACAGGAGGCCTATTTCTGGAGAGATGACAGAGCTTCCCTGAGGATATCAGGCTGGAGATCTGTGCAAGACCAGTGAACCACTTCCAAATGTGCCACGCATCCTCTGCCATGAAGCGTAATACAGAAGAGAGGAGCCACTGCAGGAGCTGGAAGGACTATTTTGGCCAGTGTTCTGCCTTGAAGCATCCTGCAGCAGACGGCCAGAGAGGGATAAGACCAAGGCAAGCAAATAGCTACACCCTCTCCAATACTTGCAGCTCGAGAAACCTTGTGCCAGCTGTATTTTATATACATGAAGTAGCCTTCGATGGAGCTCTCCTCACTGGATTTGTGAGGTTCACCACAGGCTTCCCTGAGCCACCACATCCTGCAGCAAGGAGCTATGCAGAGCACTGAGACTTCTGTTTGCCTACTCACTAGCTGTGTTCCATGTGCTTCATTTCTCATACTGGAAAAGAAGATGAACAAGTTACTTCCTAACCACATCACATTTGATTTTATAGACTATTACATTCCCAAGCTTTATGCCTTGATCTCCTGTCTGGGCTGAGGACTCCCCAGCTCACTTAGTCACACCAAGCTGTGCCAGATCCCACACTGTCATCCTTGTCAGGCGTCTCTGAGCCTTTTCCCTGTTTACTCTGCCTTGTAAGCCGGTCCAGAATCACAGGCTGCAGGGTATCTCTACTGGATGATGCAGCCACCCAGGAAAGGAATCCCCAAAGGACCCTTCCTGTCCTCTCACTGCTAAACATACTTTGTGCAAGCCACCCTCCTGGATAGGAGAGGCCCAGCCAACAAGGGGGCTGCGGGAAAATGATGAGAGGGAACGACTCCTGATTATAACCTGGAATCAGAGGCCACATGTGGTTGTGGCACATGGTCACAGAAAGAGGGCAAAGCCATCTATTTAGGCTCAGGCTGCGCCCTGGCCCAGAACTCCATGCAACCAACTGTCAGTGCTCTGCAAGACTTGGAAACCCCTGCGTGCCCTTTTGCTGTTCATTCCCACTGGAAGGGAGGGCTCAGGCAGACTGAAAGGCTGCAGAAAGGGAAAAAAATGCTATTCAAAGAATTAAAAGCCAAGTTAAGGAAGGAAATATTTTCCCATGTTTAGATGCAAGGTTCAGAGCTGCTGTTTGTCTCAGGAGTGGCTTTCCAGAAGCACAGGGAGCCAACTCAGCCATGCTCTGTAGGTGGGAGTCCCACCTGGGTTAGGAGTTCATTGCTGGGGCATTCAGCAAGTCACAAGAGGGTTCATGGCATCTCCAGCCCGGATCTACAACCAAAGAAGCGGATGTTTTGCCAGACAGCCTTTTTCTTGGCTGTTCTCTAACCCAAATGCTTGCTTATTATGGTCAAAACAAGTTTCTAATTCCAACCCCTAGTGAGCAACTGGAAAGGAGGTACAAGTGATTGTGCAGCACACAGAGCACTTTAATTCTGTGCTAGGAGATGGAAAAGCAGCTCTAGCACTGACTGGATGGTCAGGTAGAGCACTGCAGACAGGCTGAGAGCTGGGCTGGGTCAGCTGGAGAAGAGAAGGCTCCTCAAGGGGACACCTTAGAGCAGCTCCAGTGCCTAAAGGGGCTCCAGGAAACCTGGAGAGGGGCTTTGGACAAGGGCCTGTAGGGACAGGACAAGGGGAATGGCTTTAACCTGCCCAAGGGGAGATTGAGATGAGCTCCGAGGCAGAAGCTCTTCCCTGTGAGGGGGCTGAGGCACTGGCACAGGGTGCCCAGAGAAGCTGTGGCTGCCCCATACCAG